AGGAACACAGGGACAATGCTGAAATGAGCCTTTCAGAACTTGCATCCTGTCTTGCCAGTGAAACTGGTCTTGCTACTGGTCCTAACACTGATGCGTTAGGAAAACAGGGAGAGAGGGCAGGATGGGAAGTAGTTCTAAGTTACATTAGGAAAGTAATAGATACCAAACTAATGCCTAAAACCTCTAAATCCACTGTGCAAAATAATGTAACGGTCTCAGCTCAGTTCCCAGTAGTCTGAGAGATGGCTTAAATGAAACACCGACTCGGTGAGATTGAACTTACGCTCTTGTTGTGAGTCATAGCAAGAAGTGAGAATTTTTACGCTCGCTTTGGAATGTCAATTTACAGACAGACAGTTGAGCTTGAAAGCCTGTGTCTTTTAAGTATCGCAGTCCTCTTAGTGAAGCCAAACGGTGCTTTGTTTACACACGGTGTGCAAAAATAGTAAGCACACCCTGAAGTATTTTCATGTGAAAAATTGTTTGCGCGTAGACCTGAGCTCTCACGATGTTCAAGCCAGCCTGACTTGCAGCAATGAAATTGCATCTTTCTTAGAAATAAAACCAAGGCGTGCTGACAAGGTTTTGAAAATAACTGCAAACTAGGCAACTGGCCAGCAGCAGTGTGGTTTCATGATCTGTTCTCCATAGGGTAATGTTAATAGTGAGACTGCAGAATATAGTATAATGTGAAAAAGTGAGCAGACCGTTCTGGGACGGCTATTAAATCCTGTGACAATATATAGCAGTTCTGTTGTATGTGCTGTTGTAACCACTATATGTTTAGGATATACGTACAACCGTGAGCTACATTAGTTCCTCAGCCATGTCTCAGATCAAGGAGTGCAAAATTAGACCATAAAAATATTCTTTGTTTTAGATGTCTGGAGAGGTTTGGCTGTGCTGTAAGCCCTGTAACACCTTTTGCTGTCTCTAAAGCCACCTTCATCCCTCATCAGCGGAAATATTTACAGAGAAGTAGGGGAAGTTGCAAATTCTTTTCTCACCATTTCGGCACTGCTCAGCTTCACAAAAGCGGATCCCATCAGGAACGCATATAAACGAGTGGATGTGGGGAACGCCATTCTGCAATTTAGAGCAGATGTGTAAGTAAAAGTGCAGCAAATAACATCTTAACTTAAAAACAGGAACTAAGAGTGTGACAAATGGCTCCAGCATAAACAAACTGAATGTATTAGTGCTTTAGATACCTCGTGTAGACGTTGCCATGGTACTTCTTGAACGTAGGTTTTGACGTATGCCACTTGGCAAAATGTTGTCATGAAGTGGTTGCAGATATCTATAGCAAATTGTTCTAAAGTTGAGATCTAAGACAGCAGACAGTATTATTAGAAAGAAGCAATTACCTCGTGTACAAAAGTAGATTGTTCTGATTGTTGTAAATATTTGGGAAAGATCAGTGTTGTTAAAAATACAGATTTCTCTCAATTCTGGTTTTGCGCACTGTGCCTAGTCATTTGATGAGCTTGCAGCGTACGCTGCAAATAGCAGCTACAGCGTCATGTCAAAAATCTCCCGTTCTGTGGTATAACGAGCTGTAGTCCTTGGACTGAGAGAAACTGCTACAGAAGGCTTATGCTTTGAGGATATAATGCTGAAATAATCACAGCAATATTCTGATTAAGCTTTACAGGCTAAAGATGGGATTTCATTACCGAGACAGAGAATTTGCGCTACAGATTGTCATTATGGTAGATGCAATTGTGGGAGGTAAGAGCACAGTTAGCAGAATTAAGAGAAGTCTCACATACTTTGACACCTTCTGTTTAATAGTGCTATATGGGAATAATACAGTATTATGTGCTATTAAATTTTAAAAAAAGATGGATCTTATATGACAAGTCTACAAAAAAATACAGCTAGCTCTTTGAGAAATAAAGGCTTTGGGAAACTAAGGAGGAGTCCGCAGGATAAGCACTGAAGGAGGAAAAATTCTCTCCCAAATCACTGAAGGTGACTTTAGTGCTGATCTGACATGCCGACAGGGGGAGAGATTCTTTCGATGCATTTTGAAAATTAAATGTTAGTATAACAAACACTTCCAAATGAAGTCATTAGAAACAGCAAGGCTAGTTAAAAAATATAAAGTACCCCATTTTTTTTGGCCAACACGAGGACAATATTCTTTATGGTGTCAGTAGGTATCACAAGAGAGTTGTTTTCGGCCAGGTACTCCTGAGCAGAAGTCAGCCGGAGATGCGTGCACACTTCCACTTCTTTAACGCAGTGCTTCTTCCCTTCTTTATGGAGGCGAAGGAATTTAATTGTGTTCTTGCCATATTCGCAGTTGAGGACTTCTACATCCTTGATCTGCAGAGAAAATACGCGACAGTTGTAAAGGAACTCGGCGGAAGCCTGAGTTACGCTCGGTCAATGAAACACAAACAATGTGTATGGCCTTTATTTCTGTGGTTACCTGTGAGGAAAATATTTCCATTATCAATTGCACAGTCCTGATGGAAAGAAAAAAAAATGTTTTAGGAAGATATTACAACCTTAGTAGCAGCTGTGATAGAATTTTAAAATTTTATGGGGGGCAGATCACTTAACATGAGTAACAGTGAACTAGTCTCTCTTGTTCATCATCTATGGATTGGTCCTGACTACGCAGACCTTCGCGCAGTCTCCCCTCCACCATCTCTTTCTGAAGCCAGAGTGTCCCGGCGCATTCGGTCACCGGAGGTACAGCCGTGCAGAGGGCAGGCGGCCTTCGCACCCGCGCCCTCCGCAGTCGCTCCACCGGGGCCGGCTCTGCCAGGTTGGGCTGCGCCTCTCTAGATCTGGCTCCTCGTCTGCCCTGGCACCACGAACAGACTTTCACCGCCTCCTACTCCTCCGGCTCCCAGCTCTCAGCGTCGCTGCCAGGCTCCACGTGTGCGAGGCGCTGAGCCCTCTACGTTTTCGCGCAGAAGCTGGCAAAACGCGCTCGGCATCCTGCACGGCAGAGCCCCCCGTTAGCAGGCAGAGCCCAGCGAGCGCTCGGCGTCCCCAGGGCTGTCCCTGCGCAGGGACTTGCTGCTCCAAGGCCGAGTGGAAGCGGTGAGTATCAAAGCAATTCTTCCATGAGGGGTGGGCAGGTTGCTTTCTAAGCAGGCAGAAGTCCCAAACAGAAAATGGAAACAGCCGTCACGTTCTTGGCACGTTGTGTGTTTTGTTACCCCCTCTGTGCACGTTGCAATTCCCGAGAGCAAGAAGAAAAGTCAGACCGAGCTGGGCTGGTTGAAAGCGTTTCCTCACAACTGCGTTACAGGTCTGATCTCCCACATAAGGGATCAGGAGCAAGTCTGAGCAGCAAAATTCAGGTCTTGACCCGCACCTCCAAAATCCTGGCTTTCCGGGATCATTGGTTTTGTTTGCGCTAAGCCCTACTCAGTGTTATCCTGCTTCTGTCAAACACACCCGATTTACACATCTATTGCAGTGTCGGAGAGGCTCTGCTGGAAAGGAGACAAAATCCTGTGAAGGCTGCAAGGATTTCTGTTGCGCTAAAACATCCAGAGCCTGTTGCACTAGACTTTCCCTGAGGCTGAAATATCCCATACTTGCTATCGACATCTCTGAATGTAAATCAGCACCTTTTAATGTAAGCATAATGAGGGAGGGAGAAAGAATATTTTACACGCCAAAATATAAATTGAAGCTTTTTATGTGTGAGCTGCTAAAAGATTATCAGATGTAAAATTGCTCAATGTTTGTTCCTAAGAGAAATGCTAATGCACTTAAAAGATAATTTAAAAAAAAAAAGTTAACTAATTATAAATCAATTACTGTGGCTCAGAGATCAGAGCGTTTTCTCTGTCAAGTCCCTGCGGGCTCAATCCCCGCTGACAAACGAAGGACCCCAGAGCCAGCGCCGGGCAGGGCTCAGCGCTTCACCAGGAACCCTCTCTGCAGGAACGGTGCAAGGGCTGTGCTCGCTACAAGGGCTGGATGGAGAAGCAGTGAGATGGCAATTATTTTGGTTTGTTTGTCTGAACACCGAGGTTTTTATCAGACAGTTGTAAAAAATTCGTACTTCAGTCACGCAGTGCTAAAAAGAAAACAAAAAGGGTTTTGGTATCTGCAGCTTTTTTTTTTTAAAAGCAGAATACCTTGAATATTTTAATAGTCCAAATACTACCTCCTAAAATACAAAGGTAAGTTTTCTCAAAAACATAACTCTCATTTTGCCACTTGTTGCCCAGAGAAATCCTGAGCAGTTTCTAGCTCTCGGGAGCCCTGGCCCCACTCCCTGCAGCGGGAGCCCGACTTCCCGGGCTGGCTCTGCCGTCGCAGGCAGGCGCCTGGGGTGTGCTTACTGCATCGCGCAGCAGCAGCTGGCAGCTAACGCAACACAACTTCTCCTTTCAGAGCCTCCTCAGTGCTCGCCCTGTGCAGCCGAGAAACCAAAATGCCTGCGGGATCTGTGTGGTGTCACCCTGCTTTGCTGTTGCTTCTCTTCTCCACGCCCCTGCGGGCAGCTGAGTTTTCCTGCAGGAATGAAGACGGGGAGACAGTCGATTGGTAAGTAAATACCGCGCAGGGGAGAAATGCTGGGTGAGTAAATAATGCTTGAGATTAAACCACGTGAAGTAGGTGGATCACTGAGAAGCAACGCGTACCAATCACTGTTTTAATCCTGTTTGCCTGTGAGTAGTAGCTGAATTTTGCATTTGGAAAACCGAGGATAAGTTATTGAAATGTGATTTCATTTCCCTGAACCAATCACCCTACTGCATTATGACTAACTGCCAAATAATCACCAGTTTACACCGCGTTTGTGTCTCATCATCAAAGGGAGCGTAACCTGTGTTGGGGTGCCAAGGCTGCACTCGCTGGCGGCGGCCCCGCGGGCGCCTGGCCCGGGCCAGGGCTGCAGCACGTGGCTCCTCTGGCTGAGGGAACCGAGCCAAGCAGGGAAAATGTCCGTGTCTCGCCCTTAGCCTCCTCGCTTGTACCCCAGCAGCGGCGTGGTGGGACTTGTCCCCTTGCTGCCGCCGCCGAGGGGGAGCGGAGGCTGAGCCGCCCCCAGGAGGGATGCGGGAGCTGGTACCGTCCCACTGCCAGCAGCGAGCCCGAGTTTGGGTATGAAACAATTAATTGGATTAACACGCTTTGAAGATGAAAGGCGCAAAGTATAATGGCATAATATCCAACCCAGGTTTAAAAAGTGAAATGAGGGTTCTTAAAAAAGAGCACGGAAGCCTCTCAGAGATAAACATCAACCGATTTAAAAAGAAAAGTGTCTTTCTGGTGGAACAATGATTAGTTTGGATACAAGTGATAAAGAAGTAGGTGCTGTTCTTGCACGGCCCGTCCCTTGCACACAGAGCTAACTGCAGGGAAGGCAGGGGCTCCTCGCACCGCAGGCAGGCTACTCAAGCAAGGGCACAAAGCCGGCTTTGCTCTCTATTGGCGTAGCATCAAACCTTTGAGGGTCCGGGCCACCCCTGTGACTTGTCACCCTTGCCAAGGCCCTTCTGGATAAGGTGAGCTTTTCAGGAATCAGACTCATGGTTGGCGCAGCTTAAAGGTACGAGAAATTTCATTGCTCTGCAAACTGCAGTTGTTCCTTAACAGAATGAGTCTCTGTGTGCTGAAGCCAAAAAAAGAAACAACCCAGCCCAAAAACCAACCAACCAACCAAACAAACAAAAATTTACCATTAATTTCTTAAATGAACACAATTTTCGTATCAGAATTCTCTGAGAAGTTCTTTGCAAGCTGTGACTAGGGGTAACTCACTTGTGCCGCCATGCGTGTAAACACCAGTGATGTGGGACCCGTTCCAGGTGGGAGCGGGGGGGCTGCACAGGTAAAACCATGTTCCCTTCTGCCAAGTTTAGCAGGGAGGACATGGGGGATTTCCTTTCCAATGTGCCATGATCAAATGAAAGAGAAACTTGCCTGTCTGCAGGGATCATCCTAGTTTATTGACAAGAAATAGCTTTTGCCTGATTCTGGATTCGGTTGCTATGAAGCTGACAGGAGAAGCAGAACTGAAACTGCTGAGAAAAGCTTCCTCTTAACTAAAAGATGTCCATGCCCTTTCAAGCAAACACTGCACTGCAGGTTTTATATTCAGTTAGCAAAAGCTTTATGTGAGTTCCCTACTACTCAGTGGTTTCATCTTGCAATATTCCATAATTACTCATTATTAGTATTCACGCACCCTTTCATTTGCCACTAAACCGGAGGAATCACTTGCCTTATCTGACCTGATCCCATCTGTGCTCCCCAGCTGTGCCTGCAGTTCCTACCCACGCATGGTGCCTGGGCTGGCAAAAGTCCCCCCCTCCCCCGTGTTTTCATTCCACTCGGGAGCTCGTCCCGCCACCTTTGCGGCACCTCACACAGAGCAAATGGCCGTAGGATCGGCTCTCGAAGGAGGGCGGAAAGTCTTTCCTTTATTCATCCAAACTCACTGTATTCTGGGGGAAGCGTTTCTTGCAAATAAAAGCCAAAACTCTGCTTTCTGAGACGTGTTGAGTCAAGGACCGAAGCCATGGATGCACATTGTTTGGGGT